CAAATAAATAAAATCTTTAAAAAAAAAAAAAACCCTAAAGGACTGGCACGTCTGGGTGGGTCAGTCGGTTGAGCATCTGCTTTCTGCTCAGGTCACGATCCCAGGGTCCTGGGATCGAGTCCCCCATCAGGCTCCTTGCTCAGCGGAGAGCCTGCTTCTCCCTTTGCCTGCCACTCCCTCCGCTTGTGCTCTCTCTCTCTCTCTGACAAATAAATAAAATAAAATCTTAAAAATAAAAACAACCTTAAAGGACTGGGGGAGAGCCTCAAGGTTGGTGACCACATGGAGGCTGGGGAGAGTGGCACACCTGGAGAGGGCATGGGAGCTCTGTGCCCTTTTCCCAGCCGTCACCCCATGTCTCTTCACCTGGCTGTTGATTACTATCCTATATCAGATCCTTTAATAAACGGGTAAATGTAAGTAAGTACTTCCCTGAGTTCTGGGAGCTGCTCTAACAAATCAAAAGAACCTAAGGAGGAGGTCCCTGGAACCTCTAATCTCCAGTCTGGGGCTTGCCACTGGCGTCTGAAGTGGGGGTGGGGGTCATCTTTTAAGACTGATCCTTCCCCTGTGGCATCTGATACTATCTCTGGGAAGACAGTGGTGGAGTTGAGTTGAATTCTTGGACACCCTGATGGTGTCTCAGAATTGCTTGGTGTGGGTAGGAGGGAAGCCCTCCCCCATCTTGGAATTGGGTCTGGGAACCCAAAAGGAACAGCTAAGTAGGAAATCTTTCCAGCCTGCTCTCCATCCACCTCAGAGCCTCTACATTTTTCTCCTCTTAAATCCCCTCCGTGGCTGCACAAAGATTGCAAGCGCTTCCTTGTACTGTGTGTGCCCTGTTTGATGGTCATCAATTTCACGGACATAAAAGCTGAGCTAGACAGTTCCAAAGCCTAGGCCGTCATTTTTGGAAACCTCAGACACACTGGCAAACTATCTTTACTCTTATCTGGACATAGGAGACCGCCTCAGTTTATAACTGCCAAGCTCCAGCAGCCCGAACAAATCTCTGACGTCGTTAAATAAATCTCACTCAGAATTAGGAAACAGCCCCAGCTCGACAGTTCTTTAGTAGGGAAACTTAGAGCTTCAAATTAGCCATCCCTCTCCCCGCTTAGAGTAATTATCATCTCAAATGTCCCTTCTTTGGGACCTGCTGTAAATTCTGACCCCCTTGAGTATCCTCTGAAACTATCCTATTCGATTCCTTTCCAGAATTCACAATTTGTAATTTTATATTTATTTATGAATTTAAGATCTGTCTCCCCCACTGATCTTTCTCTTTCTTCCTTTCTTTCTTTCTTTCTTCCTTCTTTCCTTCCTTCCTTCCTTCCCTCCTTCCTTCCTTCCTTCCTTCCTTCCTTCCTTCCTTCCTTTCTTTCTTTCTTTCTTTCTTTCTTTCTCTCTTTCTTTCTTTCTTCTCCCTGAAGGTAGGGACTGACTGTATTCTCTTCGTTCATCATTTTATTCCCAGAATCCGGCACTGTGTCAGGTGCATGGTAGAGGTGTTGGATGAATGGGTGTATATTGGATAAATGAATGAAGGCTAAACACTGTACAGGCCTGAAGTTGTTACCTGTTACCCAGGGTCACTGACAGCCTTTCATCTGTGTGGAGCACTGCACTTCTGAGCACTTAATTACTGATCTTTCCACACTACCTTGATGGGACAGCATTATGTTTACATGACAACAAGGAGTAAAAAAGAATGCCTATAACCATCTGAAATATCTGGTGTTTAGTTCACTGGGTTGGCCCACTCTAAGATCTCTCTGATGGATGAGATTCCAAATATCTAACCACAGGAATCCCAGGTAAGCCCGACATTAAATCTTCAGTTCTTCTATTGATGGGTGAGGTCCCCGGAGTACAGGAACAGCAGCTGAGGAGGTGGCCAGGGACACTCCTGGGTCTGGGGACTGCCTCTATTACCAGGTCAGGGACCATTTCAGTGTTTGTTTGTTTTTAAGATTTTATTTATTTATTTGACAGAGAGACACAGCGAGAGAAAGAACACAAGGAGTGGGAGAGGGAGATGCGGGTTTCCCGCGGAGCAGGGAGCCGATGCAGGGCTTGATCCCAGAACCCCGGGACTGTGACTTGAGCCAAAGGCAGACGCTTAATGACTGAGCCACCCAGGTGCCCCCATTTCAATGTTTTATGTGGAATGTCGAATCGGTCTGTACCTGAAAATCCTCCTTTCCGGAATCTTATATGATCACGCGGATTCTGTATTTACTTAAAACTTTTATTTTTTGTTCATTGTATATTCCTTACATTAATTTTTATTTCTTACAATATTATATTAAATGTCATTTATCATGATTACTGTTAGGAGTTAAATTGTGTCATTCCCCCCACCGCAGATTCATACGTTGAAGTCTGAACGCCCAGACTTTCAGAATGTGACCTTATTTGGAAAGAGGGCCATTGCAGATGTAATTAGTTGAGATGAGGCCATACTAGCAGAATGGGCCCTCAATCCAGTATGACTGGTGTCCTCGCAGAAGGGGAAATATGAAGGACACACACAGTAACAGGGAAAATGCCGCGAAGACTGGGACCCCGCCACTACAATCCCGAAGCTGTCAGAAGCTGGAGAGAGGCCTGGCAGGCTCAGAGCCTAGACCAGCTCTTTCCCCAGACCTTTCAGAGAAAGCACGGCCCTGCTGACACTTGACCTTGGACCTCTAGCTTCTAGAAATATAAGACAATAATTTTCAGTTGTTTAAGCCACTCAGCTTGGGCTGCTTTGTTCCAGCAACACTAGCAAACTAATACAATTACTGAGTTTTTTGGCACCTCCTTAAATTTTATGTGGAAGGCATAGGTCTCTCTGCATCCCAGGCGCAGGCCTGGATCACCCTGTGATCTCTCCATCTGCAATTCACTCATGCCAGCATCTAGGTCACTGGGATGTATGGTGAAAGGAAGCTTTTACACAGAGAATGAAAAAAGCCTATGAAAGCAATCTTTTGTCAAAAACGTCCTGGGCTCGGGGTTGGGCACCCGGAGAGAAAGGAGAAGGTATTATTCCAGACTTCGCATCCCCAAAACGCAAACCCTCGATCTCTGGGGCCCACTGTGCAGAGCGGGGCCCCGGACAAGGCTCCCAAAGGAGCCACACATCATCGGTTTCTCCAAGCTCCCAGGGCTCTCTTATTCCTGAACTCTGTTCTACAACAAAACTCATGTCTGTTGAACGCTTTCTGACTGGTCTAAGTCCACGTGGCCCCCTTTCAGACTTCCCCTCTGTTCTCAGGCCTCAGCCTCTCTGTTCCCATACAGCTGTTAACATCACCCCTGACCTTCTCTTTGCAGGCTAAAGAATAACACCTCTTTAGCCTTTCCTTACAACTGTAATCATTTAATCCGGCCCTGAAAATAAGAATTGTTCTATGTGTCCAGAGCCTGAAGGCCATCAGTTTGACTTAAATGTAAACCGAATGGTGGGAGGAGAGGGTCTGGGGTGGGGGGGGAGAGAGAAAAGCAGGGTGTATGCCCCGCTCCGTTCCCTTGTCTCTATCTCTCCTGGTGTTCCTTTCTTCAATAATTGGTTTCCAAGAAAATCTGGCTTGTGTGAGGAGTCTGAGTGAACGAGCCTGTTCGGAGAGACAGTTTCCTGCTTGCTGTAGTAAAGTAGCTACATGAGCCCCCCGCCCCCAGCCAAAGTGCCTGATACATTTTTTTAAATTATCCAGACAAAGCTGGTACGTGTGTATTATACATGCATACATAAATTATACATATAAAGCTGGTAGTTTTTGTTTCTTTTTTTTACATTTATTCTTAAGCATTTGAGTGTGTGTGTGTGTATATATATATATTATCTAGCCATGTTGAGGTATTCTGAGTTCCCAAAGGAGACTGCCCCACGGTTCTGCCCCTAGAAATCCCGCTATTAGACAGGGGTGTAGGGGCAAACGTAAAAATTATGAAACACAAGGCAAAGGACCCAGTTCTCAGTTTCTGTAACTCTCGTGGAGAATGGTTACATGAGGATGAAAAGTTACACCAATAGCAATAGTTGCATGCATTTCAAATTTAGATTATAAACATAAATATGAAGACTGTCTGCTTTTATGTTTTATACTAGGCCAAAGTTACCAACCATTCTCAATAAGCAACATTAATATGTTGATTTGTTTTTCAGAATCCTTCATAGAAGATAATTTTCAAAGAAAATGAATTATCAAGTGCCATGAAAGGAAGGATTTACAATGAGATCTGGAGAGAGGAATAGTTTCTCTTCTTAGAAAAAAATGTTGTGGGGGAAGAGAGGGGAGTTTGCGGATGGAAAACAAAAAAATTGCGAAGACTGGGCTTTAGGGCAGACCAGACACAGTCCATGCTCAAAAGCTGAATAAGGGGGTGTGGGAAGAACATTAGGGTTGAGGGCTAACGTATGACGATTTCTTAATCCTTATCCAACATCATGTTGAATAAACAGAAAATATCGCACTTACCTAATGGTCTGATTATGGTAGCTTTTCAAATCCTGTCCAATGCTGGTGGTGACTACGATCTGTGTGGGAGAAATACACAAGATCAATTATGCCCCAACACCTCACATCATAAATACGGTCCTAGGTATAAATTACTCATAAAATGGACTGCGTAGCCTCTCACCTGATCCATTTCTGCAGAAATAAAAGTAATACTTTACTAGCCCTGTGTACATTTTAAGATTAAAGAAATTTAATTTCTCCAAATGACTTCACATGGTAACCATAGCCATCATGCAGTTTCCCCCAGTGGGGTTCAGATATTTCCAAGCTATAAGCCACAGCTTTGCTTGGTTTACTTGTGCTCAAAATTTTGTTGCATAGGAAGAGAAGGAAATGCATAAGATACTATAAGAGGTTTATGAAATTTTACTTTGATTCCATGAGAGCCTTCGGGGGAGAAACAAGTTGGTGCTGAGCATTCTGCACGCACTGCTGCTCCCCACTCTCTTTCCCTAAGCATGGAGAATCATCATTGTCTTTTCAACAGTGACAATGTTTTTGTTGATAATGTTGTTAGCTGTCACGCATTCTTCTCGTGTCTTGGAGGGCTACTACAACGTAAGCCCCTGGAGCTAAGGGGCTCCTTCTCCCCCCAACCCCCACCCCCAGTGCTAGCACTGAGCAAGGGTTTAGAAAATATGTGCTGAGCTAACGAGGGTCTCAAAGGTGTGGCTACAACACTGTCTATGAGAGGCAAACGAACACAAAAACCAACCCAATTCATCCGTATGCAACATGTTGGCTTAGAGAAGAAAATGACTCCAATCAGTTGTTTCTCTAAACCAGCCACTGGCTTTAAGTCACTTGTCCATTTAGTCAAAGCAGTGAGTACGGTAGTCCCACCACAGAGGCGGATGTCATGTGGAAAAACAATAATACGGTTTTAGGGACCTATAGATATATTAGGAAGACAAGATAGGATGGAAAGAAAGTAGGACAAATGGGAAAAGTCTACCAAACAACAACAACAAAAACCCAACCCTACTTCTTTTTTCTTTCCATCCAATCTGGTCTTTTTAATCCTTACCCCAACGTACTCTGCTAAATTAAATTCATCTCCTTAATTAAAGGACTACTTTGATTAACTCTGTTCCGGCTCGAAAATCTTCCATGACACCCTGCCACCTTGCAAATAGAAATCCAGATTCCTTGATAGTCAAGATTGTCCACATGCTACCCCTAAAGACATTTTGTTTCTTCTATTAGTTTTCTACAGTCTGCAAATTTCCACTCCAACCTGGTTTATCTGCTAACCCCCAGTGATGTGCTAAAATGTTCCCTCGTCTCCTCTCCATCTCAATTCCACCCAATCCGTAGGAACCTTCCCTGTGAAACCTTCCCCGAGCATCCCAGCATGAAGTGCTACCTCTCTTCCCCGAGTCAATATGAATCATTTGGTAATTAAGCTCTCCTTATGACATCCTGTCACCTGAGTAATGCTTCTCCCATAAATAGTCGATAAGCTCCGTGAGCAAAGAGCCTTGCATACATAAGGTGCAAAATAAATCTGTGATTTGCTCTGATGGTTTGATACCCGCTTAAGTGACACAGGGTACTGAGCTGACCTTCACCTTCACCTCAGGAGCAAGCAGCAACCAAGCTGTAATGCCATAATAATCCCTATATAAGTGGGAAGCTGGACAACAGACCACAGCTAGGTCACCTCACGTTAAGGAAACCAACAAACATACAAAAAAATCCCAGCTAACCTTTTACAGACTCTTCTTAGGGAGGCAACAAGGACTGACCTGATTTCTTTTCTCTCCAGGAAAAGGAAATGTGATAAACATAAACACCAAGGGAAGCCTGTGTCTTATCTAATACATAAGACAAACAACAGGTCTCTCCCACTTTTGTTACCGGAAAATCACAAATCAATAAGAAAAGCTGATGAGGAAGTAAAGTAACAAGAAAAAACGTAGCACGTCGGCATCAAATACATCGAGAAATGGAATGGTCTTCAATTATAACAACAGATTTGCCATAATCCATAAAATCTGCGTTATGAGAGTTTGAAGCAGTTATGTGCTGTGTTTTATAGTACAAAGCAGATAAATCCCCTCTGTCCCACCAGAATGATCACTTAGGTTTGTTGGTTATTAGTTGCTTAATGCCAAACGTCAGCAATTGTGTAACTGCCAAGAACAGTCAGACCATTTCTTGGCTGAACTAGCCAATAAATTTCCGGTAAAAAAAAAAAGTCATAGATCTGATAACACTGTGTAAACATGACCGATGCTGTTTTAACATTTATCTCCACAAATCTCCCCCAGGGGAGAAAAACAACGGAATTGCTCAGATAATTGTGGACATAGAGCAGGCTATATTATTTACTCATTCACAGTATGGCCGAAAGAAGCACTTTAGAAGTTAATTAAATGGGGGGCGCCTGGGTGGCTCAGTTGGTTAAGCGACTGCCTTCAGCTCAGGTCATGATCCTGGAGTCCCGGGATCGAGTCCCGCATCGGGCTCCCTGCTCGGCAGGGAGTCTGCATCTCCCTCTGACCCTCCTCCCTCTCATGCTCTCTGTCTCTCATTCTCTCTCTCGCAAATAAATAAAATCTTTAAAAAAAAAAAAGAAGTTAATTAAATGGGATGGGATGCTCATGATTTAAACTTCCATCTACAAACGTTTGCTTGAAGAAGTGTAGAGTTGTAAAGAGTTTATCATTTACCACACATTTGCTCTTGCAGGCGCCCTTGCTCCCTCCCTTTACCGCAACGCCTAACATGGAGGGACTCAACGGAGCGAGCGCACAGATACCTGGCCTCCGTTAAAAGAGATATCCAGTCGAAACCACTCCTTCAGAGGCATGGTGAATTTCGTTTTCACAGCAAGGTCTTCTCCTTTGACGAGATGCATTTGGATATGCAAGTGGCCTACAAGGAAAAGTAAAGCTCGTGAAAAACGACAAAAAAATACTGAGGACGGGGGTGCCTGGGTGGCTCAGTCGTTAAGCGTCTGCCTTCGGCTCAGGTCATGATCCCGGCGTCCTGGGATCGAGCCCCGCATCGGGCTCCCTGCTCCGCGGGAAGCCTGCTTCTCCCTCTCCCACTCCCCCTGCTTGTGTTCCCTCTCTCGCTGTCTCTCTCTCTCTGTGTCAAATAAATAAATAAAATCTTAAAAAAAAAAAAATACTGAGGACGGCATGATGTGACTGCACCTTTCTGACAATTGTCCTAAGGAGCTCTCCGACCAGAACGTGTGCCTTCTCCCTACAGACAAGAAAAAAGCAAGCAAAAGAACGCACAAGTGGATTCCTTCCTAAAGAAGACATGTGTTTTAAGCTTCCAGGGGAAAAAAAAAAGGAAAAAAGAAAAGTTGAAAAGAATCCGCATTTAAAAATCACTGCTCTCACTGAACTGCCACGTTGACGGTATCTTTCTTAATTCCAGACATATCTGCCAAGGGAGCACAAGAAAACTACCATATCATTTTAAAGGTTCCATTTCATACTTACCCTCTTCAGTGAGAAATACAGACGGTGTGCCGTACATCTCATTAGAATCAACAAAGTACAGAATCCCACAGAGATTGGCCTTGCAATAATGGAGTAAATAAAGCCACAATGAAACAGTAAACCTACAAGAGTGAGGAGAAAGAAAAAAATCTGCAGATTGATATCATCCAAGAACAGATAATTATAGTTGACAAGGACCAAGTAAATTGCTTTCTTTCCAACGAAGGGATGAATTTGCCTTCATGTTCATCATGGGAGATCAGCTTGCAAAGCTTGATTTTTGAGACAAAGGAGGTAGTTACAGTAACTGTGAAAGACAGGAGTTAAGAATCATTGTACAAAACTAGCAGACATTGTATCTTGCACCAAAAACTCTGTTTCTGTGCCTCTTGGAGAATCTCACATGCCTGCCATTTGAATTCTTGATTAGGGTTTAGGAAGCCAGACATAAAATAAAAATCTGGATTTTAATAAGAGGTGATTTGATAAGAAGCTATTCTAATTTCAATGATTAAAAGAAAAAAAACATAATTAGGGCTTTTTGAGCAATTTTGTTTCCTTCCAAGATAAAAGCCTTAAGGTAGAAAAGTGTCGTAATCTGTAAATGGCATTGCTATATGTTAATTGGGACACGTAGATACTATTTTAATGCACACATTAGGTTGTTCAGGATCACAGTTCCGTCTGACCCATATGGAACAACTAATCTAATTGTTCCATTTCTGGACCGGGGCTATTTTAGTTGAAAAAAGTATTGTACATCTGTGATTTGTGGGCTGAGAATAAAATAACAGTAGTCAACTAGGACACATTTAGCCAAGATGTGAGATCCATCCATCACTCAGCAAATATTTGCTGAACGCTTGCTTGATGCCACGCATTGTGTTAGTGACCAGCAGTTCCAAGATGGGGAACTGGGAGTAACTGCATTTTGCAGGTCAAACAGGAATCAAGGTCAAAACAAATGTACCAAGTTCTCGCCATGACTCCAGTAAGCAATTCACAGTTTGGGTTAATGTGGCCATGGCCCCGAGTTCTTCGGGGAGATATCCAAACAAGTCCTTTAGAATCTTCTGGGCTTTCTAATCTGGCCTCAGAATCAGTTGGTGAGATATGCAAACAGATGGTGTCACACAACTCCCTCCTGACCCACCCAGCTGAGCAAGCTCATGAAGATAAGTTATTACAAGGAAGCTTAGCAAGAACATACGCTCAGTAAAGTGAGTCAAGATCTTTCTACAGCCAGCAGCATGGGAAGAATTAAATCACTCTGCTAAATCCATCCAGTCTGAGGTGAACCAGGAACTGTTTTCAGCATCTTCAATTCAGCAGAAGGAAAAAAATATATCTGGGTTTTGCTGAAATCAATGGAGGAGATCAGAAGTTGTGAGATTTCAAGCAGCTCATCCAATCTTTCAAGACCGAAAAAGCAAAGCAAAAGCAGCGGTGTGCGCTGGCTACGGCTGGCTGCACCCCAAAGCTTGCAAGGCCTCAGGCTCCCACACCTTGCTCCCCTGCTCGTGACATTCCTGGGACCAGCACAGAAAGTCCAAGGCAAACTGAGGACTGCTAATGGCAAGAATAATTCGAGAACGCTTTGGACCACAAATTCTGTCTAAGCGGAGTGGATCTCCACATTTTCCCGTAGCATATCACCATGGTGTGTCCTCCTAAGGGATTCCACGAGCCTGTCCTGGTCTTCAGATTAAACAGAGCACTGCCCCACCAGCCCCTGTCATCTGCCCATTCTTACACTGGGTAATCTATCCGTTGGCGTCGGGTGGCCTCCAGCTCTCGGTTGTGAAACCTTGGGAACTTCTTCACAATGCCTGTGTTTTCTCCACTGGAGGCATAGAGAAAGCCCAGGAGGGTGACCACATCTGCGAACAGCAAGAACACCTGCCTTTCAATTATCTCCAGAAAAGCACTGCTTCCCCAATCACGTTCTTCCTGGAACCCTCTCCCCAGCTCCAATCAAACAGTTACAAGAAAGCATCTGAAAATATCAGCAAACGTTTATTGAACACCGATTATATGCTGGGCGCCTGCTAAGCCCTTTACAGAGAGCTGTCTCAATTGGTGTTCACAGCAACCCCGTAAAGGAGATTGTAGTATGAGTCCCGATCTACAGATGAAAAGCCCGAGGCATAGAGGTAAGATAACTCACCTAAGGTCACAGCTAATAAGAGGTAGAGCCAGATTTGATATTCAGGCTCGGGTTCTAGGTTCTTAACCATTTCACCTGCTGCCCTCCCAGTGCTAAGGAAAACATTTGGAATTTGTGCGACAATAGTTAACAGTTATCACGTGAGTAGCCCTGGATCCCATCCACACTGCTGTGAATAGGCCTATATCTCATTTAGCTAGCTAGCTACCTACAGAAATTCATTTAATCCTCATTATTATCCCCATTCTGCAGATGAGGAAATGGAGGCACAGCTGCCCAAATGGTAGCTAATGTTGATATAACACAGAATGTGCCAGGCAATGTGCTAAGCATACCATTCCGGGAGCGATCTCATTTAATTTCACAGCTGTCTATCAAACGGGTGTTATTATTATGCCCATTCAACAAATGAGAAAACTGAGCCCTAGAGAGGACTGCATAGTAAGAGGTGGAGCTGGGACTCAAACTCAGGCAGTTTGGTTTCAGAATCCATGCGCTTAGAAGTGCACAGGTTTTTTTCTTCTGTGCAGACTTTCCAATACACTCCACACATTACTCTATGCAAAAATGACCTACCAAACCCCTTAAAACTAGGGAGCCTTTCTCTTTATTTTGCAAATGCGGGAGAATTCTGTGGCTCTAGAGAAGATGGGGTGTCCTTAACAAGTCTTAAAAGGAGAACTGCATTATCTCATCTATATTTAATACCTACTGCTTTAAACGAGGCCACAATAATTTTTTTTATTTTCCATACCCAGCCCTCCCTTGGAAGGAAAAAAAAAAAAATCACTGAATTCAACTGAAGAATAAAGAACTCTTTTCTCTTTCTTAAAATGCTCTTATGTCTGTGATTAAATGGTGGAAATCATCTATTTTGCTGGGCTTCCTGGAAAGGGAAGAGTTAACTTCTAAGCAAGTCATCAAATGCCTCTATTGGTACAAATTATGGGAGCCTCAGCCTGGGCTATTGGAGACCCCAGCTCTCATTCCTCAATGGAGAGAAGTATCTTATTATAGAGAGACAGGTACCTCTGGTTCATTAAAACTTAGAAATCACAAGAGCAAAGTGTTCATAATCTCAGACCCCTATCAGTATATCTAATAGAATTAAATAATATAGAGCCAAATTGTCCCCAGTGTCCACAAATCTCCCTGTTTGGTGAGAGGTAGAGAGGCATTTGAAGACTCAGAAGGATAGAGTTATCAATTCCAACAGAAACAATGCAAACTTTTTTTTTTCTTAACTTGACCTCAATTTGGGGACACTAGTCTTGCTGGTCTATTACAGGGATGGGTAGGGGGACTGGAAATGGAAATACTGCAGGGGTGCCTTTGGAATCCAGGGAGAAAATCGCCAAGCGGTTGCTGTCGGCCCAACCTTGGTTTGGCTTCCACTGTGTGGAGTGGAACATAAAAGACCAGATGGCCACGTTAGCCCCCTAGGAGGCCTTCTGCTGGTGATTGCTGTTGAGTTACCTAGTGTGCAGTAGAAACATTTATCAAAAGGAGCAGGATTTGATTCTGTCCAACCTGACTCCAGTAAAAGGAGGCTTCATAAAGAGGTTTCCAAAGTGAAAGGAGTTAAAAGTCAATGCTGATGAGCCTCTCCTTTATCCAGGGATCAAAGTAAAGTGGGTTGAGCAGGAGAACTTGCAGCGAAAGATGTGCAAGGAAAAAAAGTCTAAGACCAAAAGATCTAAAATAAATTTTACAAAAACACATACCTTTTGTACCCAACAAAACCAAAGCGATGGCGGCTTTCTTGTAAAATCTGCAGCTTGAATAGTTCTATGATTTGGAGTTCTACTGCAATTTTTCCTTCAGTATAATATTGCCTTCCCATTTACTTAGAAATAATAAGAATGAACTTTCGGAGCCCGAAAAGGATGTTAGAATTCAGTTAGCCCAGGGTAACACACAGGCTTGTTTTCTATTAAGTGATTGTGGCTGCTTGGAGCACCATGCTTGATTAGCGATGGCTGTCGTGGACACTAGAATGGGGGGTAACAACACCAGTATCATTCTCCATGAAAAAATTTACAGGTAGGAAAACTTAAGTCCAAAGTGGTTAAGAGACTTGCCCAGTTTCCTCTAGAATGTAAGTCCCAAGAGAACAGGAACATTGCCTCAATCATTACCCCATCCCTAGAGCCCAGAACAGTGCCCAACACTTGACAGAAGCTCCATAAATATTGAGGGAATGAATGAATGAAGAATGAACGAACGAACGAACGAACAAATGGGCACAGTATGGCCAAGTCAGGATCTGAACCTGCCTCTCTCTTGCTCAACTCCTTTCAGAGTTCTGTAATGTGTCCTATGCTGCCCAAATCAGATCACAGTCTCTCTTCCTTCAGACCCTTCCCCCAAATCCATTTCTCTGGCTGATCTTGAATGAAGAAGTTAGGTAGGAAAAAGGCATCATTACAACAAACATAAAATACCAGGAAGGCAGTTCAGATTTAGAACCCACCACCTTGACTGTTTTGCTTGTTTTATTTCCTCAAATTTTATAGCAAGAAGAGGCATTAGATTTTGTATGGCAAAAACTCCTTCATTTGGAGACAAGAAAAATGTGTTTCACCGAAGGCTGCATGGTTAATAAGAGATTCAGGTATGACTCAAAGCTGGTCTCCCGCTATAAACCAATGGACTTCTTATTAAACCACATCACATCTCACAGGTCTTCCCAAAGAGATGGGTGCTGCCTTGACCCTCCAGGACCCCACCCCCACTACCTATCCAGGCTCTCCTTCAGGGTAGACCTTGGCTCAGCAAGGGCCTCCTGGACCATCCTGCTTCAGCACAATGGCTAGCGCCTACGGAGCCTGACCAGGAGACCCTGTCTAATATTGGTTGTTAAGTACTTTGAACATCACCTCCGAGCAGGGTGGCTGGGGTCGGTCATGTAGCCCATTCTCCAGGTCAGCAGAGTGATCAGAGCCCTGACATGGATACCTGCTCTGGACACAGTCCCACATCCATGTAACAAAACCCTACTTGGGACGTGCTTCAAACACAACCACAATGGTGCAGCTGAGACCTCAGCCCATTTGTGGAGGAGAGATAGTCTTGAGGCAAAAAGTAACTGACTATAAGTCTGTAAGTGGAAACAGGAGGAAAAGAAGCTAAGATGTTCCAACCTGGAGAAGGAAAGCTAAAGTGCAGGTAACTCAACAGTGGTTTCCAAATGCAAGACATTAAAAGGCAGGAGTGTTCGGGTGTTTCATTTTCTTTAAAACCAAAGCCTGAGAACTAAAACTCAATTTTCTAGCAAGTATGATTTAGGTCAGAACTTCCCCAAAGGATACCAGGCAGTGAAGTGGGCGAGTAAGGAAGTTAGTGGAATATTCAATAGTAGGAGTGCTAAGAATAAAATAAATTTCACTCCCAGGAATTTATCCTGTGAACATACTTGTAGGTGCGTACAAAGATACGTGTGCAGGGATGTTTGGTGAAACCTTGTTGCTAATAGTAAAAGACTAGAAATGACCTGCATGACCATCAGCAGGGGACAGGTGAAATAAATTATGGGCTGTCCGGCAACAGGATGCTAAGCAGCTACTGAAAAGAATGAGGTCGTGTAGCATACACTGCTATAGAAAAATCTCTGTCGTATTGTTAATGAGTGCGGGACAGAGTTTATAGTGTCTTCCCATGTGTGTGTGAAGAGAGGGGCTCTCAACTTAAGGCTTATAGGAGCAAAGAACATTTCTGGAAAGAGACACAAGAAACTAGTGTGAGTGAGTTTGCCTCTAGGAAAAGGACAAGAACACAGGGTGGGTGGGAGCTCGCTCTTCCTCCAATCCCTTTTACACTATATGAATTTCTTTTACCAGGTACATATATTCCTTTTTAGGCTAAAAAAGCAGAGAACAAAGTCTGAGCACTCCCGTGCAGGCCGGGAGCTGGGGCCAGCCACATTCAGAGGCCTCCCCGCCCTGGGCCTCTGCGGCTGTTCAATCTGCTTCAAAGAGGCAAAGTCCAGTGGGTGAGGAAAACAGGATGATTCACATCAGTAAAAATTCAACTTAAAAAAAGAGTATTCCTTTCTAATTTAAAACCTGGGTTAGGGCTGTATTAGCATATTTCAGAGAGGCGGCATAGCAAAGCTTGGACTCCCGTGAAACAAGCTGAGCCTTGGTTTTTCTCCCCTGAAAAGAAAGGATGAGAATAATACTCTTTCCCATGGGACTATTACGAGGATTAAATGAGACAATGTGCACGGAAAAAGTGTTCTGAAAATCATAAAGGGCCACGCAGATGCGAGGCATTAATTGGTGTTATTACTGAGAAATTCAGACCACCATGATTAACTGGAGGGAAAAAAAGAACTAAGTCTCTATCTCTCTCTCTTTTAATAAAAGTGCCAAATATATAGTTCTCATAGTTATAAACAGTATCATCATGTCATTGACTTAAATAGTCTCACTGCATCAACTGGTATTTTCACAGAGACAGGTAAAGCCTGGCTCCCCTATCTGACTTAGCCCTTCCATGACTTTGTTGTAATGGAATTTTGTTATAAGAAATCATACTTCTAATCCATTGGATCTGAAGATGAGAACGGATTTTTGGTGAAAGGAAGAGAGTGGGAAAGAAGGAAGCTGCCATGTTCCCCAGTTTCTGAAGTAAGCGGCAAGATCAGAAAAATGTTCATATAGATGGACAGCAGGCCAGAATGTTTAATACACTTCAGCATGGCATTTCAGAGTCTTCAAAGTGTGGCCCCC